TCGATGTTAAACTCTTCGAGTAACATTGTTCCATCTGGAAGTTCACCAAGAATTTTTTATTGAAACAAAAATACAAATACAAAATACAAAATTTGATTCTCTGAGTTTTAAATGAATCAAATGATCAAAGTCGTTTGCTAAGCGATCAAGTTATTTGGTAAGCGATTTATTTGATCAAGTTATTTGGCTAAGCCATTCATTGGTCACATTACTACACTTAGTCGCGTGGGAATGCGAATAACAATTCCCTAAATAAATAGAAATATATAAAAAAATCAACAAAATCAGCGTTAAATCCTAATTTCAATAATAACTATACAATTTGAAAAAACAAATTCGCGCTTTCATTTTTTTTTTTATAAACACGCTTACAGTAATCCTATACAATTTGAAAACAAAATTATATGAACAAATCAAAATGAAATTCAATATTTCTCTTCTCTTTTTGATTATCTTTGCTGTCGTGGCTTTAGCAGGCCCAATTCGTAACAATAATTTGGAGAAGCGAGGTATTTCATTTAACTATTGCAATAAACATCATTATAGTCAAATATCATTGCTTTTGAAAAAATACTAACTATTGAGTTTCATTTGATTTTAAATAATAAATCATCCCGTAAGTATTTTTGCACCATTATATTACAGTCAATATCATTGTTTTTGAAAACATATTAATTACTGATTATTTTAATTTTATTTTAAATAATAAATAGAGTGGTAGGTTATTATTATTATTACAGTCAATATCATTGTTTTTTGAAAATATATTAACTGTTGATCGATCGATTCTTGTTTTATTTTAAATAATAAATAGCCTGTAAGTATTCTCATCATTTACTATTATTACAGTCAATATCATTGTTTTTGAAAACATACTAACTGTTGATTGATTCTTGTTTTATTTTAAATAATAAATAGAAAGTGAGTATTTTCATCATTACTATCACCACAGTCAATATCATTGTTTTTGAAAACATATTAACTGTTGATTGACTCTTGTTTTATTTTAAATAATAAATAGAAAGTAAGTATTCTCATCATTTCACTATTATTATAGTCAATATCATTGTTTTTGAAAACATATTAACTGTTGATTTTCGTTTTATTTTAAATAATGGGTAGTGGGTAAGTATTTTCATCATTTCACTATATATTAATATCATTGTTTTTTTTGAAAACGTACTAACTGCTAATTTTTACTTTATTTTAAATAACGAACAGCCTGTAAGTATTCACTTCATTTCACTATTATTACAGTCAATATCATTGTTTTTTTGAAAATATTAACTGTTGATTTTCGTTTTATTTTAAATAATAAATATAGGGAGTAAGTATTCTCATCATTTCACTATCATTATAGTCAATATCATTGTTTTTGAAAACATATTAACTGTTGATTTTCATTTTATTTTAAATAATTAAATAGCCTGTAAGTATTTTCATCATTATTACAGTCAATACCATTGTTTTTGAAAACATACTAACTATTAATGTTTATTTTATTTAAATAATAAATAGACTGTAAGTATTCTCATCATTTCACTATTATTACAGTCAATATCATTGTTTTTTTGAAAATATTAACTGTTGATTTTCATTTTATTTTAAGAAATAAATAGAAAGTAAGTATATTTCATCATTATTACAGCCAATATTATTCTTGAAAAATATTAACTGTTGATTTTCATTTTATTTTAAGTAATAAATAAAAAGTAAGTATATTTCATCATTATTACAGCCAATATTATTCTTGAAAAGTATTAACTGTTGATTTCCGTTTATTTTAAATAATAAATAAAAGGTAAGTATTTCTATCACTTACTACCATACCATTGTTTTTGTAAACACATTAACTGTTGATTGATTTTCATTTTATTTTAAATAATAAATAGGCAAGTATTTTTATTATTATTACAGCTTGAAAAATATTAACTGTTTGATTTTCAATTTATTTTAAATAATAAATAGGCAAATATTCTCATCATTTACCATTATTTATAGTTATTTGTTTTGAAAAAATATTAACTGTTGATTGATTTTCATTTTATTTTAAATAGAAAATAGTTCTTTGGCTCTTTGATAACTTCATTCATCTCTAACTTTTTTACTTTCATCTTATTTTTTATCTTTATTTTTATAATTTTTACATTGCTTAAGATTCATGCAAACTATAATGTTTATATTTATAACATAGGAAGCAAACATAAATAAAACATTATAATTTGAAAAGATTTATATGTGTCAATTTAAATGGGAAATGAAAATGAATCCGATAAAAAGTGTTAAATAATAATACAGTGCGGATCATCTCAAAAGTTAAATTTTTTAAAAATATTATGGTGATCCACACATCGGATTTTAAAAAAATCACCACCATTCAATTCAGCTTTAAAAAGGGAAGTCTATTTATTAATAAAAAAAAGGAAATAAATAAATCAAATAAATCAAATGAATGTTGTAGAAAATATTCTATAATAATAATAATAATAAAGTTGTTACAAAATGCTAAGGTTAGGTCTTCTATTCGTAATACAAATTCTTATTCGAATTAAAAAATTTATTCGAATTATTTGTTTTATTATTATTGGAATCTTGGGTTTGTTCATTCATTTATTAGATTATTTGGAATCACGGGTTGTTCAATTACTTAAATATTCAAACTATATATACAACAAGGTTTAATATTGATTTTATTATTATAAAAATTGAAATTAAAAATGAAACTAACAAGGAAAGACTGAAACAAGATTCATGTTTCTTTTAATAAATATCAATCTTTCCGGCGAGCTTGCATTTAAACTGGGCCTTAATTATTTGTTTTATCCGAATTAATTTTTTCGAATTATTTGCTTTATTCAAAATTAATCTCTTTATCCGAATTATTTTCCTTGTTCGAATCAAATTTCTTATTCGAATTATTCGTTTTATTCGAATAGAAGCCCTAGCTAAGGCTCAGCTAATTTTCAGTTTAAGCCGATAAGTTTTGAAGCTTGAGTCATGAGCAATAAAACTTATCGGTTAAATTTTTTTTTGTTTTTTAGTATTTTGAAGTTGACCGATTGTTATTATTATAGATGATCTGCACCGTATTGTTATTATTATATTAATTTTACCTTAACTACAGGCATTATGAAAAATTTAAAGAAAACTGGCTTTTTTGTTTTCACAAAGACAATTCTTTTATGCATAATCATATTCATAAAATAAAATAAATAATAAACTGGTGATTGTGATAACCATAAAACTTTCTGATAATTGCTTGGTCAGTCATCATTAAAAGTGCTTCCGTATCGTAAATTATTTAATGACATGTTATCATTCAATCCAAATGTCTTTTTGGTTGCTCATTTTGTGATATTTGACTTGGAGATGCGTTTCTGACATTCATAAACTTTCCACATATTGGATACAAGCCCCATTCTCCATCACCTAGAATTTTTATATCTTCTGATGCAAATTCTTTCGATGATCTTCCTTCCGTCAAGATAAGTGTACAATCTTCTGAATCCTTTAATCCAGGAATATTAATATTAATCCTAGTGGTAGCAATAGAGCAGCAATAATAGTGGTTTCTGGTGTTGGTGATATGTACCAAGAAATATAAGTCAAAGTTTTAGTTAAGCCATGCTAAATATATAAATTAACTAGGATAGCTCTCTCTCTAACAATATTTACCCGATTAATGCATCTTCTCTACTAACAATACTTGTTGTTTGATTATTCTTGTTGGGCTTTTTTTTTATTATTGTTTACACAATTACTGAATTATGTTGATAACAAGAAGTAGTGTTCTACAAAAAATTTTCCAAAGTATATACTAGCACTAGTGAGTGATACATATTTGTGGCTAAAAAAAATTTCTTTAGAAAAAAATTTTTTTTTTGACGAGTTAACAAAAAATTACAATAATTTTAAAAGATGGAAAACACTTTGGATAAAAATAAACATCATGGTGAAACTTCTACTGGCAAAAATGATGGTGATGAATATTCTGATAAAAGATATCAAGAATATGGGAAATGTTCAACCTGCAATAGATATAATACTAATTGGGCATGGTGTCAATCATGCGATCCAAAATTATTAACTGAAGGATGGACTAGTGGCAATGAAATATTAGATGAGTTGATTAAAAGCACACAACTTGAAGCAACCAAGTATCATTATAGCAATCATCTTCAATAGATTCTTTATAATAATTTAACAAATATTGAAAAGATAGGTGAAGGTGGTTTTGCAACTCAACTATATCTAAAGCTACTTGGTTAAATGGTTATGAAAGTGTAAATTATAATAATGGAAGGTATAGTAAAGATATGATTGTGGCATTAAAAAAACTACATAATTCACAGAATATTTCTGATGAATTTCTTAATGAGTTAAATTATTATTTCCCAACCTATTTTCAGATTTTTTAAATATTATTGATTATTATATGATTTTATTATTCCATTAGCAACCAACAGCAACTGGCGATTGAATTAGATATGTGATTGATGTTTCAAATGAAACAAAATGAATAAACCAAGCAAAGTTTTAGGAATTAATCAAGGTAACATAGAAAGAAAATAATTTTTTTTTGAAAAAAAAAAAACAACTATATATTAAAAACATGTGTTTTTTATGAATATTCCAAATTTTCATTGTTCCTTGTTTGCTGCAAATGGTTAATAATAATCAATAGTGAAAAAACAAATTATGAATATAGATAAAACTTTAACATACATCATATACATGAAAACTATTTCCAACACATGCAGTTAAGAAATAAGCAGTCCCAAAGCTTGGAGGTCAAAAGATATATCATTAGTGACATAACATATAGCACGAAAAGGTTGAAAAATTCTGTTGCTTTCAATGAATTATCACTGTTTAATTAGTTTTCCTTTTCTTAACCATCTTTACCATAATTAAAAATACATTAAACTTTTATTTATTTGTTTATTTATAATAATCACAACAATTAGAAAATGTTCTATATTTTACATAAAATAAATATTTCACATAATATCTAAAGATCTTAGATGCTTAGAATTATCTTCAATAACTTTAACATCAAATTCTTCTTCAAGTATTAAATCAATAATAAAACTGTCAGGACTAGATTTTTTTGTTACATTACATTTAATACAAGGTATAGTCATATAAATGTGAGTCTTGATTTTTTCGCCAAATAACCTCAATATACTATAGCCACAACTTTCATAAGGCCTCAATCTATTTACAATTTTTTCAATTCTAGGACTAACAATATACATCACATTACTAATATCTCCACCAATATTATTATGAAATTGTATATTGACTGATTTACGAAAATTGAATTCTGCCTCAAATATACTACTTTTCAATGCTGTAATAAATCCATCTAATTTATCTGATAACGTTTCATTAGAAACAAACTGATTCAAAGGTGCATTAATTGAAATGTCAACTGGTATTTGGAAAAAATCCAATTCTGCTCTCAATTCTCGTCTTGAAACTGTCGTAAAACTATGGCTACTTTCATCAGAATTTTCATTAGGCCAATATATTTCACCATTACGATAATATTCAAGAATGTATCGAAATGCATATCCATTACGATCAATAAAATATTCATTTCCATTCATTGCTTCAAGAAATTGTTTATTTTTATCTTGAAATAACATCCCAAGCAATGTGTCTGGGTATTTTTTTAACGTTGACCTATAAGTTTCATACTATAAATATATACAGCATGTGTATTATGAATGTGTGCGCATATATAATAATAAAAGTTTATTGATTATTTTATAATACTTACTTTAAGTCCACCAACATTTAATATCACTCGTTCATTATTAGGATCATTAATAAGTAATAATTTATTGTTAAGTTGATCATAATTTGAATATTTTGTTCCGTTTTGTTCATTCATTTTTTTTAAAAAATTTTTTTTTCAAATGCAGTGTTACTAAGACCAGGCAGAAAGTGATAATAAAAATATGGAAAAATTTGATTTTATCACAGTAACTCACTACTCCAAATTTTATTAAGCTAAAAATGCTCTTGCAATTAGATACACATATGAATGTTCTTGATGATAATAATAAATTCCAAATAATCTTTATTGAAATTTTTAATGGTGTCTTTATACAATATTTGCTTATCAATTTTCTCAGATATCTAATTTAAATAGTAATAGGTAGCGTTTGTATTCATGATATAATTCATCATGTTATGTTGTGTAGCAAAGATAATAAAAATTCTATTTATATAGTGCAGAACATCTTATAATGGTCAATGATTATGACATGACTTTAAAAGACCTAAGCCATTTCATTTTATTAGAAAAGTTTTGAATATGTAAATTGTAAAATTTCCGGAATGATCTTCTCTAAAAAGCGATGATCGGCTTAAAATTTATCCCATGGCACAGAAAATCTTTCCAATAAAGACATATGATTACTTAAATTAGAAAAATTTAAGTTCAGCTAAGGTTTTTTTTAAATTTTGGACTGACATTTATTGATAATTTAAACCATATAAGAAAAATACAAATATTAAATATTAAACAGATTGATTGTATACATTAATTTCTCGTAGATTTCATTTTAAGAATATGATTTCCAACATCAGGAAATAAACATTCCGAAAGAACTGATGCTGCACTTGTGCAAAGATATTTCTTGCTAGTTTCAACATAATAGGCAATTCGTTTTTTTGTTCATTCCACCATAGAAAGGGGCCAACAGTTCTTGATGCTGTTGGAAAGTTAAAATATTTTTCAAATTTGCCTTGTTCCTGCTCAAATTGTTGCAGGTTTCCAAAGAAATCATCGAAAACATCTTCATAGGGTGACCTTACACTCCTTGATTGAATAGGACCATTAATTTGTTGCTGTTCTTTTTTTTGTTGTTTTAATAGATTATATTGATCTTTTAACAAATTTAAGATTTCGTTACGTTGTTCATTACTAAAAAATTTCAGTCCTTTAAAACATGGATCTAAAGCTGATGCAAAAGTAAGCTAGAAAAGAAGGAGCAAACCAATAATGATTTAATGAATTATATAAAGTTAAAATAATTTTTTCATATAATCCTATTGTTTCAACTATAGCTGTTCTACATAATTTCCTTCTTAATAAATGATCATTGCCGTATCTGTAATGCCATAATTAGCTTTTCATGGTTGCCAAAATTATCCGTAGTTATTTGAACTCTTTAAATCAAATGGCATATTGTATAGTTATTTTATGTTCATTCATATTGACCATTGCCATAATCACTTTTCCACTAAAAACAATTATGGAAAACAACTATAGTTTCAACAGGTCTTGATATATATCTATTTTTTTTTCTTCTTTCATCATTACTTTTTTTTCGTTAACTCTACTTCATCTTTATCAGCTTCTTCTGTTAATAGTGGTGGACCTTTATCGTTTTCTTCTAAAAGTTCACTACTATCAATTGGTTCGATGATTCATTTTGAAATCATTGTCATTCACTATTACTAATACTAAAAGATAATGTGACAAAATCTCTACCACCAAGTGTTGCTGTTACTGCATCGAATTGTCCAAGTATTTCAACAAGTTTTTTAATTAATTTCCACGCATCATCAGTTGATAATAATTTTTGTAATTTTTTGCCATCTTTTGATCATTATCCAGTATCATATGATTTTGTAAAATAATAATGGCTTTTTTGAGACGTGATAATCTCATCCACGAATTATAAGTACTGTTCCAACGTGTGGTTACATCATATATTGGTCTTAAATTTTCAGGATAAATCTTCCTTTATTCTTTGTTAAGTGCTTTTTTTTAATGCAAATTTGTAATGTATGAGCTGCGCAAGAAGTTCAATTAATCTTTTAATAATCTAGAGCCTAAAACCATATTACTGCCATTATCAGTAGTGATAGCAGTGACTTTTCTCTATAAACCCATTCTAATATTTCCTCCTCTTTATAATTAAGCTTGTGTGGATGTGGAACATAGAATAAGTTTAAAAGCGTCTCAATTGGTTCAAAGCTTTCAGAGAGCCATGAACAGGTTATACCCATATACCCTTTTTTTTGATGTGAAGCAGTCCAAAAATTTGCAGTCAAAGAAGCAAATTGACAAGTACTAAAAGGCTTGTTTCGATTTCATTAAATGAAACGTTATATAAAGCGCTATTGATTCCTTAATTAGATTTGTGTTTGGGATTTTGAATTGGGGATTCAGAGAGTAAATAAAATTTTGAAAGTTGGAACTTTTCAAGATGTAAAAAAGGCATGGAGTCTTTTATTAAGAACTCGATTAAATTTTTTAGGACGAAGTTGAATTATTTCCTGTTCGCATTCATAAACTTATTAATATTAAAGAGAGAGCGCGTTATAATATTATATTTTTAAATTATAAATATTCTCCCTGAACGAATATAAATAGCCAACATAGTTGGATGCTGATCGTCCTAATTTGTTAGTATATAGTATATTATGTGAAATTGAAACTCGTGAGAAAAATCAAAAGTTTTAGGGCGGGGTGTTTGGATATGAAATTCTGATTGGCTAAATTTCATTTTCACGCTCAACTTTTTTGTATATAATGAATTACCATAATAAATTAATTGTGTGGTGGAAATAACATATTCACAATGATCTTTTTAAAAAAAAATTTTTTTCATAATAAATAATAATAAATAATTAATTCAACTAATAACTTAACAATTAAAATATATGGTATGTGCTCTGTTGAACTTCAAGAGCTTTATTGAATTCAGGTGTAACAGTGCAAGTTACTATCTCTTTGCAATTCCAGTGTCTAAATAATTCAATTTATATATACACTTCTTTTGATAAAGATATCACTCCTTCAAAAAATAAAGGACACAAGTTTTTAATGATTGATGTTCTGATTGTAATCCACCCAATTTACAAACAAATTCACAAACTTATGCCACAGTCCTTGCTTGATGTCTTACCTAAAAAAAACAAAACAGAATATATATATATTTAATTCAAAATAAAAGTAATGTTTAAATGTGACAATTATATACTTCATGATCTTCATTAATTCTTTTGGCAACTTGGTTAAGAACTCTACCAACAACAGCAAAATTCATGTCTCTCAATTAGGCAAAAGGCCTATTGCCTGAATTAAGTGCAATTTTCTCCTTTTCTGCTTAAGGTTGAGCAGGTGTTTGAGAGAGATGGCTTTGCTGGATTTTGTGGTTTGATTTCACCAAAGAAGAATCAACTTCTACATGTGATACTCAAATACCAAAAACTTCACCTATCAATCCTTCACAAGTTAATTGTATACAAAGTGGTGTTATCAAATCAACAGAATGATCAATGATGATAAGAGAATCCACATTTTGAGAGACTGGCATAATTCAAAAACTTTCCATCCAAAATAAAGCTCTTGAATGGATTATCTAATTCCAATGATAATAAATCACCTCCAAAGGGTATCAAAAGTCTAAATGATATTTGCTGATAGTTATATGTAAAAGAAAATTAGTCAAGGAATTTTATAAAATTTTTGCAAAGTAAGGGTTAAAGAGGGAAGGAAGAAAAATAAAGATATCTCCAAATACATCAGCTTCTTCTAAACTCTAGTACAAATAATAATTCTTCTTGGTACAAAAAATAAATTATACTTGTATTTTTAACTTGAATTATTGTTCTGACAGTGGATGGATATCCGACTATATATAAATTTGCGGATCACCGGGTGAATTGGAATTGGTAAAATGGTTACACCCGGTTATAATTTTGGTATAATAATAATGAGATACTATTTACTTTAGATTAAACATATGTATAAAAGATTTTGAAAACAAAATTATTCAAAGGTCAAGAAAAGAGCATGAGAGTGGATGTAAAATTGTGGTCATTTGTAAAACCTGACTCTATCAACATGCTCCATCAATGACAAACTTTTTGGTTATATTTTAAAAAATTCATTATCAAAGAATGCTCTTTTATTAAAAAATTGGTGTGCCAAAGTTAGGGTTATTTTTCGCCTCGTAAATCCGATTGGTTCACCAAGAGCACGTGATCACGTTACTCTTATTCCCTATAAAAAAAAATTTACAATCAATAATTGATCAATTATTAAAATTACTTATAATTCAAAAAGAACAAATCAACGTACCATTCTATTGTTGCAGGTGGTTTACTTGAAATATCATAAACTACTCTATTTACACCTAAATATATAAATAAAAATGCTTTAATTTATGCATATAAATATTTTTTTTTTTTGTTAAATAAATTTAACATAATAAAGTACCTTTAACTTCATTGATGATTTTATTACTGATTCTTTTTAGTATTTCATAAGGAAATTGATACCTTTTTGAATAGTAATGTTAGATTTATATTTAAGTGAAAATAATTTTAACCTAAAAGGAAAAAATAATTCACCAATCAGCCGTCATAAAATCTGAAGTTTCGACAGCTCTCAGAACAATAACTTGTTCGTAAGTTCTTTTATCACCCATCACACCAACAGCTTTCACCGGCAACAAACAAGCATAAGCTTGACTAATTTTTCGATATAGATTTGCTTTTTTAATTTCTTCAATGTAAATATGATCCGCTAGCCTAACTATGTCTATTTGTGAGGGGGTAACCTCTCCCAGTATACGTATTGCTAATCCAGGCCCAGGGAAAGGATGCCGCCAAATTAGTTCTTCATCTAATGTTAACAATTTACCCAATTCTCTTACTTCATCTGTATAAATAAAACAAAAGTTATTTAATTGGTGATAAAATGAATGCCTCCCAATAAAAATAATCCATGTGTTTTTAACCTTTGAATAATTCTCTAAGTGGTTCTATCAATTTAAGCTTCATATCTTTTAATAAGCCACCAACATTCTAAATTTATTAAATAAAAACTTAGAAACCAATAAATAATAATAATAATAATAATAATAAAAT